TTTTTTTTTTTCTTCTTCTTCTTCCTCTGATTAATTCATAGCAAAGAGTTCGACTATAGTTGCAAACCCAAGCAAAGTCTGGTTCTTCTTTTGTCGTTGCATTTTGATACTAGTGAACTATATTGGAAAATTTGAGTAGTTGGTGGAATATTATTGAAATGCGATGTTATTATGGGTCTATGATTTTTTTGTAAAGGTATATAAATTTTTTTAATAATTATTTAAAATTACATGTATCTTACGATACACTATTTTTTAAAAATAATACATCTTCCGATACATGATTTGACAACTATGGTTGGGGTTATGCTGTGAGATTACTTAGATCATGAATCAATTTGTGGTTTGAGTTATAATTTGGGGTCAGAACTTTGAGTGACCCTAGTTAGTGGGATGCAAGGGTATCTACAATCACGGTACTTTGGAGAGTTAGGTGTCTTTCCATTGGGCCCTAACTTGTTGCAATTTTCCTGTCAATTTTGCTGTCCATAGCTGAATCAAGTACTTGCATATAATTTCTCTGGGTTTTATGTTTGCCCATGTCCGTGTTTATTGCTCGTAGTACCATGCATTTATACTGACTACCTGCATTTCTATGTTTTGCATTGAAGCGTTAGTCTTATTGTGAAGTAAACTGGTCTTGGCCAATGGTAATAACCTTGATCAGGTTTAATGTGTATATGAAGGGGAAAAAGGCTGTTTGGGAAACTAAGAATTTTTATCCAAATTCAACTCAATCTTTTGTTTGGTAGTACTTTGCATATTGTGCAATATGACTTGTTTTTCTATAAGAGTACCATATGACTTGTATGAACTGCCCTCAAGCTATAATATTATTTTTTTGGTTACAGTGGTGGTTACAAAGTTTTTTTTTCAGAAATCCGAATGGACTAAGTCGAGTAACTTTAATTCTTGAGAAACTGTTGATGTTATATATCATTCAGCCGTAGCTGGCACTAAAGTCCTCATTCGCTTTGATCTTTTGCTAGTTTACGCTGATGGAAGCATTTGTTTGGACATTCTGCAAAATCAGTGGAGTCCTATTTACGATGTGGCTGCAATTCTTACCTCTATTCAGGTATGGGATTATCCATCAATAGTTGCATGGTATGTGCCTCAAATTGTGGGATAGTGACTTTTGATGATGAATTGACAATTCTGGTTAATGTTAGGGTGGAAAGTTTTATTACTGGAACTTTAGCATTCTTACACCGAGTTGTCTTGTAATAATTCTAAGTTTGGATTGTTGCATCCACTCGTAACACAACCCATGTTGATTAAAGAAGGGCCTCTCTTTCTATCTGATGCTGATTTTTTGGTCTCTCGTAGATAAGGTATGGTATTCCTTGGTCCTTATATGGTTTTAGTAGATAGTCGTCATTGGCAAACCTCAGAAAATGCTCAATAAAGGTGTATCATGTATATGTTTTCCTAGTTAGTTCCCCAAGTGTGAAGTTTTTGGTGTCATTTTACTATTCCTCAAATCTGAAGCGCTGGAACTGGAAAGATTTTGCATTGTGACATGTATCAACACTAAAGTCCATATGTGTTGCTTAATTGATAATGCTGAGGAGTCATGATACAGTATTTCAATTCAAAACCCTGTATCAGTATGCATTTTAATGAGTTATTGTAAGATTTCTATTATTATTTCAGACCGTCATTTTAGAACTTCCATTCTGTCTCTCTTCTTGGTTCAAACAGAATCTATTAACATTCGGTAATTCTTTTCAACCGACTCTTTAGCACTATGGTATACAACTCAATCATGAGAGTAATGCCATTCAGAATATATATTTTGTTCCACCTTCTGTGCGTTTGTGATTGTGTGTGTCAGTGCACGAATATATATGAAGAATTACCATATAACATAGTGAACTAGTACAAAATCCATTTTTCTTTATGTTGTGATTGTTCCACTTTTGATGTCCTAATTCATGGCTTTCGCATGTCAGTCGCTGCTTTGTGATCCAAACCCGAACTCTCCTGCCAATTCAGAAGCTGCACGAATGTTTAGTGAGAACAAGCGTGAGTACAACAGGAGAGTACGAGAGATTGTCGAGCAAAGCTGGACCGCTGACTAACTTCTTGTGGTAGGATGATGTTGAATTTTGAAACAGTTGGATGGTCTTGTTGAATTAACATTTGATTCGAAAACAATTCTGTTGTGAACTCCTGAACAATTGTATTGCATGTTTGCTTATGTTCGATGGATGGATGCTAGGCCTTCTTATCTCAATATTATTTGGACATGCTGTGTTAAATTTTTCATCTACCCAATGTACATACAAAATTTCTTGTTATCACTGGATGTAGTACTACTGAGTACAAGTATCAATGCTGATAGAACACTGATAGAGCGATTGCTCGTGTTTTAATGTTTTAATGATCAATGGATAATGGCTGGCCATGGGAGGGATGCAGATAGCACATTTGGCATTGATTATTATAGGAGCCGGCTGTAAAGCTCCTCTTGATCTCCTTTGTTAGTTTTACCCAGATACAGAAATAGTTGTGGATTATAGAAACAGTTTTGTTGGCATATAAGGAACTCAAGTTTTCTCAAACTGGGAAAAAAAGGTGACAATTTCTTCATTAGAATCAGAGGCTAACACTGTATGTGATGATTTATCTGCCAGAACTGGTTTCATGTTTATAATGGAGTGTTTGATGTAATTACAAGTTGTAATTATAGTTTATTATGAAAATTTCTAAGTCATAGACTCAATAATACACACTGTCATGAACATGCATAAGTATGATGAAAGCATTACAACTTTGTGCTAAGGTTTCCACTGCTAGGCCAACCTTCCTGAAAGCTTTGTGCTAAGGTTTCCACTGCTATTCCAACCTTCCTGAACTTGAAGTGAATACTGCATATGCCAAAGAACATCGTCTATCGATGAAAACTTGCTTGAATCTTTGCACAGACAATTGATGGTGATTTGAACTGCGGTTTTTAAGGATTCATAAGCATAAGTTCCTCGGATGGAGGGATCTGTTGCCTCTCGGAGTTTAGATGTTGCTTCTGCTAAGGATTCTTCAAGCTGCGAGGCAAATAAGTTGGTTGAAGCCAATTGGAATTCATGAACAGTAGAAGAATTGCTTTACAGGAAGGTGAAAACTGATGGGAAAAAAGTAAAAGAATAGCCAAAAATGTGTTGATACTGATACCTGTAGCTTCAATGTATCTATTTCAGCTTCCGAGTTTGCTGTTTTACCAGTAATTACTTCTAGTAGAATCACTCCAAGCTGATAAATATCATCTTTTTCCGGGTTTTGAGTCCTGCATATGAAGCTTTCAATGAGATGATTTGAATACCTATTGCAGGACACCATATAGAAGAGGAGGAGGAGAAAAAATACCTGCCAAGATGATTGGATGCATCGTGTCCATTGAGAGGAGTTTCTGAACCTGCCTGCACAGCTCAGAAATAAAGATAAACAAGATTAGCACAATTGATCGCCTATTCTGAATCTCATGCCAGTATCAATTTTCATAACATCTCAGGCCTGGTTCGGTTTGCATTTGAGAAACTGTTTTTCACTTTGAGAAACAGTTTTTGGAAAAAAAACTATTTGACTAGTTGTTTTTTATTTTTATTTTTTGAAAACTGAGAACAAAAATTGGGTAGATTTTAGATAACAAGTTAGAATTGTTTTGTGTGTTTGTAGAAATATCCTTTCCAAATTTAGAAAACACCAGCACCACCACATTTATGTTTTTCTTGTTTTTTGGGTAACTGTCCAAATAAGTTTTAACGTTTTTTATTCCGTAAAATTATTTTTGGAATCATATAACCAAACAAGTTATGCGACAAAAAAAAAATACTAAAAACAGTTTTTTGAAATTCTTTTCAAAAACAGTTTTCGAATATTATTTTTTAATAAGCAAACCAAATAGGACAATCTCTTGAACCCGAGATTCATTTTACCTTAGATGGCAATAATATGTTGTAGCTACCAATTTTCGCAGTGAGGGTCTCGTCTAACAATATGTTCTGAATATTCAAATCATTCCCAAAGATGCCGGGCGCAACCCCAGTGTGCAAAAATTGGATTCCCCTTGCAATCCCCATTGTAATGGCCATTCTCTGTGGCCATTTAAGGACTTCCCTCTTTCTCCAATCTACCAAAATCGAAAACAGGAATGTCAATTTAGATAAGTTTTTAGAGTATTCAGAGCAAACGAAGCAGCTACTAATATTTCCCGCCTTGTTTTACCTGTAAGATGATCCCTCAAAGACCCATTTGCAACATGTTCAAGAACAATGAAGACAGTGCTAGCTGTGTTGGGATGGTCCTGGTATGTAACAATGCAGTGTCCAAGAACACTGATCAAATGCCTGTGTCTTAGCTTTGATATTACTTCCATGTGTTGCTGCAAGCTTTGAAACGAAAGTTTGTGTTTCAATTTCACACATTTCACCAGCACAATTGAGCCATCCCTAAGCCAGCCTTTATAAAACTGCAACAATCACTTTGTATATTGACTAAGAATCATGTTGGTAATTGTTGTGAGTGAGTATCAAAACAGTGATCTGAATTCATTACCTGACCCTGAGATCCTTCCCCTACCAAATTCGAGGAGTCGAAATTATTTGTTGCATCTTCCATGTCTTCCAATGTAAAAACATGATATGGTGGTAGGAGTGATGTCAACCTCATTGTCCGCAGTACGTGCCCTGTCAAAAAAATGGTGAACAAATGAGTACTAGTCTCTCTCATCTATTTAAAGTCGGCTACATGAATTCCGTTTTTCAATTCTGCTCTCTTACGTTCATAATCTTCATAACCTTTTTCACTATCTAAGGCATTGTTGCATTGACAAGATGCTACATTCTATCATCAGATGGATATAGGAAAAGGGAGTAGAGTTCTTACTTCCATCGGTGATTGGAGAGCCACGAACAGAACCCTTTTCGAAAACAAAGCTGTCGCATTTGTATTCATTATTATCCTTATTTGCTTCTCTTCTTCTGCAGATGATAAAGATCAATAGCCCAAATACTACAGCAATTCCTGTAATGCCTCCAATGATACCAAGCACAATACCAAGTTTAATGGTGGACTCTTGCTTTTGGTCTGTCGTTCTAGGGTTAACAGCTAATGCTTCTCTCTGACAGAATGAATATGGGTGTTGCTGATATTTTGAGGTCCCATTTGCCAGACAATTCCATGAACTAAGAACTGTCCGATTCCTTGAATTCGATCCGACGCAAGGAGGTAACTTTCCAATCAATAGATTATACGATAAATCGACGAATATAAGCTTGTTACCGCAAGAGACATTGGCTGAAAGTGCTCCACTGAACTGGTTTTTGGACAGATTGAGGTACTGAATTGATGGTAAGGAAAACAGAGAAGAGGGTATTGGTCCAACAAGTTTATTAATGGAGACATCAAGTACTTGAAGCTGATTAAACTTAATGACCTCAGGAGAAATATCAGATCTCAGAGAATTGTTTCTGATGGTGATATTCACAATACTGATACCCAATGAAGGAAATTTGGGCCCTATGTTATTGTTACTTATATCCAGCTCTTGAAGAACTTGTAAGCTCTTTAGATCTGGGACACTCCCATTGAACAAATTATCAGCCAAAACAAGACTTTTCAGATTCTTGAAAGTGTTGATGGATGGAGGAATCTCCCCATAGATGAAGTTTGAGCTAATATTTAGCACTTCAAGTGACCCAAACCTGTTTATTTTAGCTGGTAATGGACCCCATAACCCTAAGGATACAAGTGATAGTTTTTCCAAATTTGAAAGCTTGGTTAGAACAGTAAAGAATGAATCTATAGAAAATTTCCCAGAAAGTGTTTGCTGGGAAAGAACAAAATTACCTGAAGTGGGCTTTGGGATCTTGGAAGGGGAGGTTTTGTTTCCAATGATAGTTAATTCAGTTATGTGATTGTTTGAACAGATGATAACAAGAGAAGGAGAGGGAGGGAGATAACAGAAGCTAGTCCAGTTATTCCATCCTTGAAGAACTTGTGGATATTCAAGCTGTTGTTGAACTTGGAAGAGGATTCTATTTTCTGCTGTACTTAATTGAGCTATGGATATTGAAGGAAATTCAAGGAAAATTAGAACAGAAAGGAAGAAAATGAATGAAACCCAGAAATTCCCCATCATGAAGCTCAAAGCAAAAACCCCAACTCATTGATTGTTTGTAAGGTCAGAAGCTTCAAATGGTCCCCTTAACCCTATATAGAAAGTTGTGTAGTGAAGTAACTTGGATATATAGAGGAAAGAGCTACAACTCCAACCACCGCAATTAATGGGGAAAAGATAGCATTGATTTCACTTGAATAATTCTAGAAGTTGCAGTTTTGGTATTTGGTTTCTCAGAATATCATCATATACGACAAAATTTGAAGGAGAGAAGCTGTGGATTACAAGACAGCAAGCTAGCTTTCTGTAAACACACTCACTTGTCACATGAAAAGTTTTCCTGGAAAAGTAGGGGATGGGTGGGAAGGAAAAAGTGGGAAAATTTTATAGGAAGAGAAAATAAGATGGAAAATGAACAGAACCCAATGTTTGAAATTGATTCAGAGATCTGAAGATGGTGAAGATACCATGAAAGTCAAGCTACAGAGTATAGAGAACTTGTTTTACCTTGCCACACTACCACTTGGAAATTAAAAAGATTAATTTCCTTGAGAAGTAGAGAGAGGATGAGTGGGAAGGGAAAATGTCGGAAAAATTTTCTAGGGAGAGAAAATAAGCAGGAAAATGAAGAGAGTCAAAGATCTGAAGATAGTGAAGTTTCCATGTAATCAGTGAAAGCTAACATGCAAGATATTGAAGGTCTCTGCATATGTTAATGCAAGAGAAAGAGAGAAAAGAAAGTATTCCTGATCGCACGCTACGCGGACCATTATAATAATGTCCAACCAGATCTAACGCCGTAGGTTTGTATGGATCTTCGCGGCAAGGTGATCTAGTCAACGTGGCTAACAAGTCAAAACGCTTCGGTGTCACGAGCCATAGCCACGTGGGATTCACGAGAGATCTTGATATTTTGTTTCGACGAAGCTACCCTTTTCTTGATTGTTAAAAAAGTGCTCTAATGATCCTTGGTGTACTAAGATTGCTTTTAGGGTTGCCAATAGATGATGTCATGTATTGACAAATTTTTTAGGGTCCAGTTCTAAGAGAATTTTTTTTTTTTTTTTATGAGTATTTTAATTTTAGCATAAATAATTTATTTTTAATTAAATCAAAGAAGGAATTAGTCGAGGTGCGCTTAAGTTGACTAGACACCCCTGACCGTTAAACAAAAAAAAAATAGACAATCTTATGTTGAGTTTAGATCGTGTGAAAGTATACTTAATTGATTTATATCTGATGTATTTGTAATTATACAATGTCAGATTAATCATATTGTATAATGAACTTGTATCGTGGATAAATTATGTATAGTTTTGTGCTTCTTGTTCATCATTTATTAAGTGCATCTAATCGGGTAATCAGTTAATAACACAAACCCATTAAAATTGGACTTATACTTGAGAATTGTGCGTTGATTTCGTGTCAATTTAGTGGGTCAAATGCATATCGGGAACTTGAAATTGAACATTACATGCTTTATTGAGTTACATCTCTGAAAAACTCGATAGAATATGATAAGGTACGATAATAAAAATAAGATTCATACAGTCGACTTTAAATAGGTAATACATAACCTTATTTGCTTTAAGGTGTGTGTTAATTGAATTATGAATTGTATCATATAAAAACTAAGGCTTTTTTTTTTGTCGGCGGTAAGCTAGGTGGCTTCAAAATTCAAGGCATTAATAGTGTTGTCTAAGCAGCTTTAATGACACATGAGTACTACCAACTCCTTCCACTTTCTATAACCTCCATGACAAGTGTATACCATTATCTTTTTGGCATTTCTGTAGAGAACAAACCTTTTTGTATGCAAGACAAAAGGTTCTCTCCAACGAAGCACAAACAAACATTAAAGCAATGATGCCACGGCCACACCATTTTTAAATAGGGAGATTTATATGTATTTTTATGTAAGTAATATGTCTAACATGGCATGTGTGCATGTTCCTCCATCAACATCACGCTAACAATCTTTCGGGTTTTAGTCCGGTTCAACATTGGGATTCTAACTCAATTCGGGTCAAAAGCGAACAGGGGATTTCAAGGTGCATTCCAAAAATTCAATATCCCAACCCAAGTATTGTACGACTTTGAAGTGGGTTATGTATTTTTTCCCACACCTAATCTTTATTGAAAATCTTTGTTCCAAGCACTCAATATTTTTGAATATGACTCTGAATAGGGGTATCTATGGGCCAGATTAGGCTTGAAAAAAAAATTTTGGGCCAAGTTTGGATAAGATAGAATCAAGTCCTTAACCAGATAAGTTACTGGGCGGGTCTAACTAAGCTTTGAGTAGGGATAGGGTTACCCACAACCCAACTCACCACTCACTATCCTATTGGGCAGACTTTTATATATATATATATATATATATATATATATATATATATATATATATATATATATATATATATATATATATATATATATATATATATATATTAGTTTATTTAAAAAATTTCTAACTTAATATTATAATTAATATTAGACCTTTTTTATAATTAAAAATAGAGTAAAATTGGAAAAAATACAAATAATAAATAATTTTATTTATGAATAGAAGAGGAATCTAATTTTTTCTTTTTGAATTGAGTATTGAGCGTACCTAACTTTTTTCTTTTTAGAGACATATAGTGTCACCAAACTTTCAAAATTTCAACAGTCCAACTCTTTTTCAAATAATTGTGTGGAAAGGCAGGCAGGTTGGGCTGGGTGAATGGGCGGGCTTTTGGGCTGGGTTTTAATGGGTTTTTGGGCATGGGCTCATGGGTTGGGTTACGAGTTGGTTCATGCCGGATAATAGATTTGAGGGCAAACCCAAATCCTCTCTTGAAGGATATTGGGGTCAGACAAGTTAACTATCGTACTTCAAACCTATTTTCAGGTCAGCGTAACAAGACCTGTGGGCAATCCTAACCCATGGACACACCTAGCTTCGAATTGGTTCTGGCAATGGATGGCTTTGGCTACTGATGAGGGTGGTCGCATTATATAAAGTATTTCCCTTTTTCTGGACCATATGCCAAACTTGAGAATTCAAGATGCTTACAGCAAGCTATTGCTGTTCCAAGGAAGAGCAAATAATTTCTAACAAAAGCTCATAGTATAAGTTTATAAGATTCCTGTATATAGCAGAATTTTGGAGAGGTAAGTGTTAAGTTGGCGGAATTTTGGAGAGTAAGTGATAAATTGTCTTATCCCCATTTTTAGAGAGACGAATTCCCAAATTCTAACCTGCACATTGGTTGGGCGAATAAGCACTTGTCACTGCTCGATGTCGAATCTATTTGAATTGTTGTTGACAGCTAAGCTAACACAAATAGAGTCTAAACCTGCAGAATTTTCTCTGCCCATAGAAATCATAGGTATTATTACAAACAAATAGTGAAATTTATTTCTTACAAAGGCCAATTAGACAATAGAAAAACATTCTGTTTCTGTTCATTCTTCAATGGTTCACCCCAAGTTTGAATCCTTTCATTCAATGCAAAAGGCATAGAGTGAAGTTCCAGCAGTCCAAGTTGGGTGGAACTTAGCCAGACCAACTGAGTACCCATTGCCAAGGTAAATACAACCATAACTTGCTGAAACTCCACCATATATAGTAACACCAGTGTCGTATGACCATAGAATAGCCCCAGTCTTAGCATCCATTGCATAGAGAGGGCCATTTGGAGCCACAGACCCTGCAAAGAGGACTCCATTGGTTAGTGAGACTGGCCCTTGGGAACTGTCATTGCTCGGGTTAGCTGTGGACCAAAGGATGGCCCCTGTGTTAGCATCTAAGGCTACCCATGCACCAGCTGTTGTTGTTTTGGTAGATGGTGCAAGGTTGAAGCGCACTCTGTCGCTGTTGCCTATGTTTGTGTATACTCTCTTTTCATCTGTGGCTGCTCCCCATATCCCTCCTCCCTCCTTACTCCCTGGTCCAGCCAACTGTAAAAATTGGTTTTGAAATTCTTAATGAACCCATTTAGTATGCACGTAACACATACATGGAAAGCCTAGTATATAAGGTTTCCAGGGGCAATAGGAGAGACCTGAATTTTCACTGGTACCATAGAATTACTTAGTTTAGGTACAGGGACCATATGAACGGGCCCTGACAAAACTCATGTATGGCTTCTTTGATTTCTCGATAAAGAGAAATATGACCAACAATGATTCGAATGTATAAATTTTTTTTTTTTTTGTACATCTTACTATTAGATAGTGCCTAGATAGGGATATCAGATCAAAAGTTATGGAACTTGGTTGTGGGTCTTTTGTCGAAAAATTTAAATGAGGCCTTTTTATTTCTTTAAAAAAAATTACAATTTAAATCATTATACCATATTGTTTATATTATTGTCCTTTGAAATATGAAAGTATTTATTAGATTTTTGTATTCAAGTTTTGTTAACATGTTTTTTTTCAATTGATAGTATAGTTAATTCAAACAAAGTGAGCATACCTGATATAATAATTAGATAAAATTTTATTAGATTTAATGTTAATATAATCAATAAAAAGAAACAAAATTATAAATAATAGAACTTAAATTAAATATTATAGACTCAAATGGTGTTTTATGTTATTGTTAACAATATAAACAAGTTCTCAACAAGCTCAAGTCAAATCTAAAAAACATATAGATTTATTTTTTTAGGGTATTAATATAAAATTGAACTTCATTGAATATATATCTAAAAATTTTATTTGAAAGTTAGACTGAATTAAATATCAATAAAATGGGGCCTTAATAATTCGGGGCCTAAAATAGGCCTTCAATGGCTATGCTATTGCACCGGCCATGAAGATTTCTATCATTGCAGGATCTGAGAAAAGTTTGATTTCAGAAAGGTCAAACATGTTCAACTTTAAACCCGTATGCAAAATTATTTCTACAATTTAAAATAGTATAACTTAAATACGCTGCGACACATGACCATATTTGACCCAAAAAGGTGGAATTATAAATCCCCTTACCTTAGACCAAACTATATCACCATTGTCACGATCTAGAGCCCAAGCAAAGCCACTTTTCTGCACTGCCACAACCACATCACGCTCCCTTCCTTTGTTCAATATGCGAAGCAGCATTGGTGCCTCTCCAAAGTCTGCATCCACATTAGGCCCTGGTGGGCAATCTGGATTATTAGGAACCAAACACGCAAAATAAAAAACATCATAGCCACCCAATTGCCTAGACCACACAATCTTCCCAGAACCAATGTCAAATGCCAGAATTGAATTGAAGTGAATGTCTGGTCCAACACACTGATCAGGTCCACTAGGTGGTTTTGTTTGGTTGTTCTGAGCTTGTTGACACTGCAGCACCTCCGGCGGGGCGATGTAGAGGTTTCCAGTGCCCACGTAAACGAGCCCTCTGACGGTGTCAATGGCGGGGCTGCTTCCCCAGATGGCGGCTCCAGAGTAGCCGCCTAGTCTTCCGCCGTTGTCAGGAAGTGTGAATGTACGCCAGAGTATTGCACCAGTTCTGACATCTAGCTTCACCATGCTGCCTCGGAAGGTGCAGCATTGAGCAGAAGGTAGTATTTCTTCTAGAGATGATACTCCCACATAGAATGCCCTTGAACAAATCGACAAACATGTTTTGTTTTCAGTCACACACGTATAACATTTGTTTGAATTTTGAGTTAAGGTACTGTCAGAATTGCTCATGGATTGGGTCAGCCCATCACTTGTACCTTCAATTTTAATAACTATGGTATGTGCATATGTAGTAACTACACATATCTAATGTGTTTTTTTTTTTTTCAACGATCAGAAGTGTCTGATCTAATTTACGCGCACCTCAACTATAAAAAAGTTATAATGTAACTCTCATGTTAATTTTGATTTTTTTTCCCATCAAACCTCACTACATTTAATTTGGGGGCTACATAATAGATTTAACGAAAATTATAGCAAAAGTTAGTGTGAGAGTTATATTGCGTTCGATCAAGCCCCCTTCCCTCTCCCCCCCCCCCCCCCCAAAAAAAAAGTCATATTGCGTTCACGTTATGATATTTAGGTGTAATGTGAAAAAATTAATTATAGAAAGTGCAAATTAAAATTTTTGAAATATTTCAAGGTACAAAGTGTGATTAGTGCTAGAATGCATACCCCAAGTAAACCGTTCCAGATGCGGTGATTAAAACTAATGGGCGCGGGTCTATCTGAGTGGACCAGACAAGTTGTCCGGTGAACCGTGACACAGCAATCACCATCGCAGGACCATAAATTCCGACGATCAAAAGGTCACCGGCCACCGTTGGCGTCGATCTCGACACCGACACGTTCACGATGGTCCCAGTTCCCGGCAGCCCAGTTAACTGACCAACATTTTGTTCCCAGATAAGAGCACCACTGATAGCATTCACTGCATACA